GAGAGTGGACTTGATGAGACGTTCATGTGTCGAGGCAATTAGTCCGTCATCGACATAGATGGCAAGCAGAATTAGCTCACTCTGCGGGCCGTGCCAAATGTAGAGGCAATGGTCCGCTTGGCTCTGGGTGAAGCCCAGTTCGCAGAGCACACCGGCAAGCTTGCGATTAAAGCAACGAGGAGCTCGCTTCAAACCGTATAATGATTTTTGCAGAAGGCATACCCTTCCTGATCCATCATCGAATCCAGGAGCTTGGGACATATACAATTCTTCGTCCAGGTTGCCATAAAGGAAGGCTGTAGTACTGTCGAATAGCCGTAAATTAAGGCGTTTCGAGGCGCAGATGGCAAGAAGTGTGCGGATGGTGTCAACGCGGGCAACCGGGGCAAATAGCTCTTGATAGTCTATCCCCTCTATTTGTTTAAATCCGCGTACAACGAGACGCGCTCTGTAGCGGTCGACTTTGTTTTCCGCATTGGTCATAATTAGAGCTCGGACTTTCATGCAAAATGCATATTTTGCATAAAAGTGCATAAACTGAGCTGATTTCCCCAGAAATGCATGTTTCGTGATTTCGTGGCATAAAGAGCATATATTGGCTGACTGAAGTGATGGAACGCCCTAACGCAGTTGCATGCTCGCGACCGAAGGAGGCTAATCCATGATCAGAGAGTCTCCGTGAGAACGAGGCGATCCCTGCAGTTCGCATCACGGCAAATGGAGTATGTCTTCCACGTCTTCTGCAAGGTGCAGGTCGGGCCGAATGCGACGCGCGAGATGCCTCGTGCTCATACGGATGTGCACGAACGCCATCGTTCGCATCAGGTGGTGATTCGATGAGAAAAACGGTGCGTGAATGTTCGGAACGATCGGAAGTTGTTTTCAAGTGATCTTCGGTACTGCGCGCCCGGAAGCTCAACGAAGATGCCGAAGCACAAGTCCTCTGTCAGATCTCGGGTGGAGTCATACGTGAACACCCTAGACGCGGCCGAAGCCGCAAGCATCGCAGCTACTCAGCAGCTCTTGAGAGAAGACTCCGTGAGAGAGCAACTCGCTTTTATCAAGGCTAATCTGGGACATCTACCGCAAGGAATTGAAAGACTAGAGGAAAGAGAAGTCCCGCTCGCCGAGAGCCTCGAAGTCTTCGAAGGAATTATCAGAGTTCTCGATATGATCCCCAACACCGCCGGTGAAAGATTCCGGAATAAGTGTAAATTTGTTCTGAGTCGAAATCCTGACTATGAACGAATCAGGTCCATCGCTCAAGTTCTGAGAGGAGACTCTCCCGATAGCAGTCTCGAAGGTTTTAGCCCCAGTGAACTGTCAGCCTTTAAATTCGCTCCTATCACGTCGGTAGACGTGGAGAGGAGTTTTTCTATGCTTAAGTACATCCGTGACGATCGGAGGCATAGTTTCACCTTCGAGAATCTTAAAATGGTGCTTGTGATATACTGTAATCAATAAATAAGTTGACGAATCTGGTACGCTGTTCGTGCATATATCCCGCGGTATGGTGCATATCTTGTCTGTTTTGAGAGCATATTTGCATGCATATTCTGACTTTTTTTAGGGCATGAAAGTCCGAGCTCTACCCATATTCTTCCCTTGCATGCAATAAAAGAGAATACGGAATCTATCGATTGGTGTCCTTCGTTCACAATTCCCGTTCCTTGCCATGGTCAACATGCGTTGTCTGAGCATCCTCGCTCTTTGCTTCATCGCCGTGCAGGCTCAGGAGCTCGATACCCAAAGTTGTGAGTCGCTCCAACGAATCCTTAACGGTATTTTGGGGAATTCTAATATAACGCCGTCATGCTGCTTCAGTCCCTCAATGCGTCCAGATGAGTCTCAATGAGCAGCTTGCCAGCTACCGCGAGGAGTTCAACAACCGTCTGGGGAAAACGCTCGATGCGGCAAGCCCGGCCGCGAAGGAAATCCGGAACGGGGTGGGGCCGGTGGACAACGTTTCGAATCTCCGACAAGCCCACGGGGCCCAGCCACCTCCACAGTATCCGAATACTCCGTCGGCAAAGATTTCGCGTCGTTCGCAACATCCGGGCCCTTTTCAATTTTCTCCGCGAGAGCGACGACCGCAGGCCCACTGGGCTCCATCACCGCTCCGACGGATTCTGGACGTTCTTTCCTCGGCAACTTCGTGGCGTTAGCGATGCCCGATTTCTTCTTTCGTCACGGAGGTAGTCACTACAGCGGGCGGTGTCGATAACACCGCCTTCTTAGTAACCTCACCTGCAGGGGCGAGTTCATGGGACCCACCGTTTGCCACCTCTGCCTCGGGGAAAGTGCTTACCGGTCCAACCTCGGGAGTGGCGTTCTCATTTTCGTCACCTGCTGCCGGCACAAGGGAAAGCGCTCGGTGTCCCGCGAGCATGGTCTCTTGCCGACGCGTGAAATCCCCGGATACATAGGTTGGAGCGCCCACGGGATGAGCCCCTACCCTACGCAGTGCCGTCGAACGACGATAGAACGGCTCCCGCTCAGACGGAGCCATCGCCTCCCAGACTGTGATCATTTCTTCCCGGATCTCGTCCCAGGTCATGGCAGCGTAACCGGGATCGCGAACTCGGAGATCACAAGGGAACACCCCGTAGGGTGAATTGTGGAAGGTGCGGCGGCTCGCACAGGCATGCTTCTTCTTCTTTCGGCGACGCTCTTCGGTCGGAATTTCAAGGGGAGGACTCGACGGAAGTCTCCGGGAACGCTCATCGCGACGTCTCTCGTCCTCTTCATTGTCACGACCACAGCGACCGGCTACTACTGCACGAACTCCAGGGCTGAACATGATGAAAATCACACGAGTCGGTCGGGACACTGAGGCAGGAGCGTACCACCGATCACCAGAGACGGGAACGGAATGATCTCGGAATGACCGACGTGGAGCGAAAACGGAGGAAGACGGTCAGAAGGAAAAAGTAAAACAAATGTGTCAAGTGCTTCCGATCGATTTCGATGTGACACCGATTCAACGCGGAAGGCATGAAAGTTCACGGGGACCTCTTCCCGGAAAACATGTTGTCGACATCAGCCCGGGGGAATGTCACATACGAACAAGTCGCATGGTGATCGAATCGGGGAAGCCGACTAATTAGTTGAAATGTGTATATAACTACTAGTATTACATGATTCCGATGGAGAATAAATTCGCGCCACAGAGAGGGTTGTGCGGAATAGAGTTCAGGAGGGAAGGAAGATCTATCTATATATATAAAAACGTATGTCTGTTTGTCTGTCTGTCTGTTTGTCTGTCTGTCCGGGGTACCCTATAGACTCGAAAACGGCCGAACCGATCGTCGTGAAAATTTGTGAGCGTGTTCTGTGGGATCCAGCGGTGGTTATAGGGGGGTCAGTTCTCCGATGCGATGAGTCCTTCTACCTTAAAAAAATTATTTGAGTGCTCCACCCACGAAAATACGAAAACTCGGAAAAAAATTGAAAAATCTGAAATTCGCTAAATTCACTAACGCCTGTACCGATCGCCGCAAAAATTCAGGGGTGGGTTCCCGGGAGCTTCAGGAAGGTCATGTGAGGGTCGTCGTTCTCATGTGATGGGTCCGCCCACCATAAAAAAATTATTTGAGAGGTCCTCTCATCGAGAATCAAAGATTTCATAAAGGGAAACACGTGAATTCGCAGGACTTTCAACGGCTGGAGCACTATGAGGGGGCGCATTCTCGGGAGCTCCTAAGAAGGCTATCGGGGGTTGCCGTCGTCATTGGCCTCTGTCTTTCTACTAATGAATCTCGCTGAAAATTGCTGTAGCCGTGAAGGGTATAGATTTTCCGAAGAACATATGGAATAGAAGCGGGGGTACGGGAGAGTGGGGAAACGGGAAACGGGAAAGCGGGGAACCGGGGAAGTGGGGAACCGGGGAAGTGGGGAACCGGGGAAGCGGGTTA